GGCGAAACGTTTCTTTTTAACAAAAAAACGAAGTCCAGATGACATGATTCAACCTTTTTTGTTGTAGACATGAATTAAGTTTTTTATTTTAAGGCATTAAAGGAATGCATATCGCCCGCCGCCGTTCATGTAGCTGCAGCCGATTTGTGAACGTAACGAGCGTAATTTCATTTGTCCTGTTGCATGACCAGTTAGAGCTCCATGGACGCGTTGGGGATGACTCGGCAACTACCACACCAACCTTTGGCTCGGTGATTGCAAAATTCACCAAGTTTTAGCCATTTTTAGGGTTAGCTGTTTTGGCTGATTGGACTGAAGCTACAGTCTGGTTCCACCAGCAGCCCTCAGTCTGTTGTGAGTAACTCTCAGCTGCTACTACCACACTAAACTTCGGCTTGGTGTCTGTAAGTCCGGCTGAGTTGTAGCCATCTTTGTGGCAGCCATCTTGAGTTGGCTCGATGGTCATCAATCCATGAATATCTGTACTGTGGTGCAGAAGATATTTTACTAACAGTCACAGGTAGCTGGAAAAAGTTTTGTTCTGATTTGTATGACGGTTTCAGGCCAAACCGAAGTAAAAAATAAATGGAGAATAACGTGGAAGTGTTGGGAGAAAACAAATATTTTCATGTTTGAGGTCGACGGCTGTGGACGCTCTTACGCAGAACAAAACGTGAACTTCCTTCAGCCCTTCACAATAAGAGTTTCCAACATGAACAGAAAGTTGACCCTAAAATGCTCTTCGTTTATCTGAACCGTATAAAGTACGAGTTTATTACTTTTGTCCTTCAGTCAAACTTTTAGTGGTTTAAACCTTCAAATCTTTTAAAAAAAAATCTTATTTGAACCAAGTTTTTTTTTAATTTCCCATCACTTTAATTCTGCTATCTCAGATTTTGTGGAAATACTTGACTTTTCTCAACATTATGACTTCTTTGAGCTAAAAACAAACAAAAAACAGCTTTATTTGCTCTTTAAATGAAGTTAAAACTGGCATTTCTAAGTTCATCACGGAGCTAAAAGTGGAATCCCTTCTTTAAATTGAACCCTTTGTTCCAGAAGGTTGAACCATTTCTTAAAGGATGGTTGTGATTTTTATTTCCTCCTGAACTTTAATGAAAACCAAGCTGAGAACTTCCAACAGAAAAGGACGTTTCTGTACCTTTTACAAATTTTATTTTTTAATTGGCCGTATTTCTGTTATTTCAAAATCTCCTCGTTTCAAATGACTGCCGTCCCTTTATACAACAACTTAAAGTTGTTAAAATGTTCAAAAAACACATTTAAATTAAAGAACTTGTTCTGGTGAGCAGGTTCACATAACTGATCTTATTTTGAAAGGCAGACTTCCTGTGGCCAACTTTTCATTTGGTCGAAGTTTAATTTTTCATGTTTAAGACAAAAGAACTTGAATTAAATCATGTTTGTTTCTTCGTTTGGGAGCAGAGAACTCATGAATTAAATTTTTATTCACGGAAAATAGTCACTTTAAATTACAGTTGGAGCCAAATGTTTATATACAGAACCAGCCTATCTGAGATTATTATTATTTATAATAAATTATTATTAAATTATTTATATGTAGAGCATTTTATTTGTATTTAAAAAGCTCCCACCCTTGTTCTCGATGTTTGGTTGGGTTCTCTTAAAACGGGCTGATTCGGGTCAAATGCTCTGGGTTTCCTTCCATGAACTTTCTCTCTTGCTAGATTTGGTTCAGGCCTTTTAGCTCATATTTAGCTACAGCCAGATTTTTTTTTAGCGTTTTGCTCCTTTTTAGCTACTTTTCTGCTCGTTTCACCTCCGGTAACTCAGTTTCATCTTCCTTTGGCTGCTGTTCGCAGCATTTTCTCTGAAATGTGCAGATTTGTTCATAAACTTCCTCTAAAATTTGTTTTAATGTTCAGATTCAGCATTTTGATGTTTGAACAGAACCAGCTGCTCCGACACTGAGCAAGCGGCTCTGATCCGTTGTGGGATCGATGTCGGCGGTGCTGGTTCTGTTGAAACACATCAGCTGCTCCAGATTGAATGGGAACCAGAGTGAAACCAGATTAGAACGCGTTTACACTCCACTGGTTTTACCATGAGCTCGCCGTCGGGACAGATCTTCAGTTCTTCACATGAATCTTGTCGACTCGAATATGAAAAACCCAAATTACTGAAAGTGAAACGAGACATTTGGACTGCTATGGAACTAAACTGGTCTGTTGTGCGCTTGTGGATCTTACTGTTCACTTCTTGTACGAGTTTGCAAATCTTTTTGAGTCTAATTTAATTCCATAGTCGTCTCTGGTGGATGACACCAGAAGGACGACGTGTGGGGAGATTACAGCACATTTAAAGGGAGGGTCACAGAAAAGATGCTGGAGATGTTGGGCTCGTTAAAAAAAAGGAAAAAGTCACTTCTTGGTATTTTTCTTTGAAATGTTCAGGGTCCAGATTCACACCTTTCTTAAAACGTGTTACTCAAATCCACAAATTGAGAAATAAACATTATTTGTAACAAATGTTTATTTTAATACAATTTTTAAAAAATGTTGGCGTTAAACAATTGGATCTTTAGACTAAAATGATAAAAAATAACTTGTTTTTGGTCATACCATAAAAATAACGTGGAAGCGCGGACAGTGGGGGGGGGGGTGACGCTCAGCTACTACCACACCAGAATTTAGCTTCATATTTGTAAAACCGAATGGCTAATGTCTTTTAGCTGTGGCAGCCATCTTGAATGAGCCATAGATGAACATCCAATGATGGTTTGCTAAAAGTAATTAAAATTCGTCTGCTGTTTCAAGAGATATTTTGCTAACAGACTCATAAATTCACCCGTTTTATTGTAAATATAAAAATAATCCATGAAATCTCAAGAAAACATTTTATTTAGCTCCAGATTACATTTTTTAAACCAACCTGTAAACAGACGCGGTTCATTTTGCCGCTAGGGGGCAGCAGAGGACAAGACGGCATCCTTCAAAGGGTCATTTCAGGTAATCTTGTAATGGAGAACAAGTATAAAAGTCTTCGTGCGACTTCGTTCGCTGTGGCGACCCCTGAAGAAGGGAGCAGCTGAAAGAAGAAATAAAAGTATACAAAAAGTTTCTGCAGGGTCTGAAATGTCTTAAATTTAAACTCCATTTTAGGCCTTAAACAGGTCGTTGTTTAGGGTATTTATCTAATTTTAATTTGTACAAACTTTTGTCTTGTGCTGTTGACCATCATTCCTCCTGTGTCTGTAGTTCTGTTTGAAGTTTGCAGGCGTCTTTATATTTTAAAACAAAACAACTACAACTCCCGTCATGCCTCAGTCCTCATGAAAGGATCCAGTTCTACTCCTAGACTCTTTTTTTTTTTTTTGGTTAAAAAAAATATTCAGGGATTTTTAATATTTTATTAATTTGGGCAACCCAATTTAGTATTTTGAAGAATAAAGCAATAATACTTTTTTTTTTTCATTTGTGTTGGTCTTAAATCGGAATTATAATCTTTAAATTTAAACTATTCAAATCTGCAGAAACGCTGCTGTTATTTCAGGGAAGTTCTAACTGATATTGGGAAGCGGCCATCTTTGGTTTGGACCTTTACATTCAGCCACAGATTTCAGCAGAACAAAGTGTTGACAGTGCAATCTTTAGAGTTAGCGCAATAAAAACTAAAAACCTCCGCACCGTCACTTTGTGTTCCAGACCACGAAGATGAAATATAAATTCCCATAAACATTTTTCTTCCAGAAGGTCTTTGCAGCTGAAGCTACGGTGCACGACCGCTCCCTGGTCGCTGGCACCAAAACAATGCTTAAGCCCCGCCCCCTCCATGTAAACTAATTGGACATTTTTCCATCTCAAAATGTAACTTGGATATTTTTCTTCAGGTGTTGGTCCGTGCAGTTTAAACTTGTTCTCTTTAAAAAAAAAAAAAAAAGTTAAATTTTATTTTAAGATTAAAGAAAGTGTTCTTGTCATGCTGTGATTGACAGCCAGTTAGCAAATCGTGAGGGTATGTGGGCGGGGCTATAAAGAGTAGAGCCTCACGTCCCAAGTGCGCAGATGATGGCTTCAACAATACAACATGGCGGCGCCCGAAAGAAAAATTTGACTTTGACTCAGAGTTGCTGGACGGCAGAGACACTTGGTTGGTCTTCGGTGACGCTGACGAGTCCTCAGCCTTCTCTGCAGTCCACAAAGTTCCCTCTGATCCAGTAGCAGATCTGTGCGTACTTCAGAGGCGTGATCCTCACCGCCACGTTAAACTCCTGTGACGCCCCCTGTCGCTCCACCCACTGGTGCCCTGAAAACACACCAATCACCTTTCGCTCCCACTTCCGCCGCCTCCCGTTCCACATCCGGGCGTAGACTCCAGAACCGCTGGCCCCCGGCTGGGCGTCGCAGTGCTGGTACAGCAAGTCCGACGTCTCCTCGCCGGCCCGGCAGAACCGATACACCAGCCGCCCCGGACGGTCGTTATCGAACCCTGAAAAGTGGACCCGCCGCCCGGGCAACTTGTGAACCGCGGGGCTGACACCTAACTTCATGTGGCGCCGTTTGTGAGCTTTCTTGAGCTCAAGCAAAGCGTAGTCATAGTCCATCCCAATGTCGTTGGCGTTCCCTTTGATCCAACCTTTGGGAACATGGGTGCGCTTGGCTCTGATCCATTGGAACTTCATTCTGTCATCGGTGGGCGGGGCATAGGGAACCGGGTCCAAGTGTTTGGTGATGTTAGACGGGAGGTAAACGGGTGAATGTTGTGTGTCTCGTTTGGGTTTTAGGAAGCCAACCCTGAGCTTCTGGGCTCCTTTCACATAATTCTTCCCATCGTGAACACAATGAGCCGCCGTGAGGACATGGCGGTCCCCCACCAGGGTCCCGGAACACCCGGTGGACAGTTTGACGGCCACTGAAAACGGATACTTCAGCAGGAAGTCTTGTCCTGCAATGCTGAAACGTCCATCGTGGCCAAAGATCTGTCGTTTCCTTCGGCTACGTGACGACCCAGTCTCACCAGAAGGCCCGTACGCTGGACTGCGGTTCAAACTGGGATTGTACCCGTAGATCCCGATGGCGGTTTCTGTGAGCTGACCGTCAGAATGGAGGGTCTCGTAGGCTAAAAAATGCTGCAGGTCCCAGTAGCTTGGGCGAGCGGCCTTTTTATGGCACTCCGGGTCGCAGGGGGAGGCGACGTCCAGGCGCGCCGGGTGCAGGAACCGCGGGGCGGGTTGAGCCTCCGTCTGCTGCGGCAGGACCACAGGGACACGCTGGAGAACCCAACGAGGTCGAGAGGAGGAGGAGACAGGTAGGAGGAAGAGGAGACACAGGAGGGAGGTGAACCTGTGGATGAAGATGAAACGTGTCACAAAAAGGTCAACGTGACCCGAAGCTCCTGCATCATGAAAACCGAGGAAGAGTTCAAGAGTCAAGTTTTACTTTTGTTCCTGCACCAGCATTTCTCACTTGCTGCCAAAAGGTATGTATTCAGTCTGTTAGCAAAATATCTCCTGAACCACTGGATGGACTTAAATGACACTAACAGAAGTTAAATCACTTGAATGACTTGATGACCTGAGTCAAGATGGCCGCCACACTTAATCAAACTTGGCAAACTCACAAACGTCTAACTCGATCAGTTCGATCAGTTTAACAGTGAGCTGAAAGTTGGTGTGGTAGTAGCTGAGAGTCATCCCATTACATCTGACGCTGCACAACTTGAAACTGACATCGAAATGGTCTCTAACTCCGTTAATGTGTTAGCAAAATATCTCCTGAACCATTGGATGGATTTTAATGAAACTCCCAGGAAGTTATCACTGGGTGTTCATCTAACAACTGATGCATTTTGGAGTCAGTCCGATTCACGATGGCCGCCACAACCAACCGACCTTAAACACAAAAATGCAATTGGGCAGATTGCGCTAAAACTCCCACGAGCTCCTGGATTGGTCACAACTCCATCACTTCTGATCTGAAGCTTCATTTAAATCTCTGGTTTAAAGGCGGCGGGCGATACGCATTCCTTCAACACTGCCCAGATTTCAGCGCCGTGAAAACAACAAATTTGGTAAATTTGCGCCTCGGATGGAAAATTCCTGAAGGATCCATGTTTACCTCCTCCACCCTTCACCTCATGAGTCTGACAGTGAAAAGTGGAAAAAGTCATAAATAAATGTCTGATGTTTTGTTTTAACAAACCATTAAAGTTTTGGTAAAAATCATTTGAAATGTTCTCCATCTGTGCGTAAATTACGCACGGACGGGCAAAGACTCACCAGGGAAGCGCAGCGCCGGAGCGCGTCATGATTCTTCCCCTGCAGGTGATCCTGAGGCCGAACCCCCCTCAGTCAGAACCAGGCTGGCACCGGACAGAGATCCCTCTCAGGAGCTGCGGACTCTATCCGAGCCGTGAGTTCGGAGCGGTCCACGGGACGAAGCAGCTCGGTCCGGAGCGAACAGGCTGGGTCATTGTTTCCTGCTGGAGGAGGTTCTCCGTCTGCACGAGCTCGTGTCACATCCGCCTCAGAAGGTCCAGAGAAACCCCGACCCAGAGGAGTCACGTGACACCACCATCATCATCAGGAGACCCCTTCTGGTCCCAGCAGGTGAGTTTTATGGGTTTAATGAACTTCCTGCAGGTTCACCTCATCAAACAGGAAGTCTCCAACATGAATCAAAGAATTTGAGCTTTTTCTTCTTTGTCAGATATAAAAATTGCCGTTTTAAATAATAATTGATTATAATGCAGCAAATAAAACTTGAAAAAACAAGAGAAAGCCCCCTATAGGACAGGAGGACTCTTCAGGTGGAGGAGTTCTGGTTTCTGGGCGTCTTTGTTCTGAGTGATGGTCAGATGGAGCGGGAGCTGGATCCACAGATTGGGGCCTCATCCTGAGTAATGAGGGCATTGCTCTGGTCAGTTGTGGTGAATTAACAGTTCAGTCTAAAGGCAAAGCTCTGGGTTTACTGGTCTGTGCTAACCCTGACCTGTGGTCATGAGGTTTGGATCAGGACCAAAAAAACTAGATCCTGGATCCAAGCAGCTGAACTGAGCTTCTGGGGGGGCTCAGCCTTGTGATAAGGAGCTCCATCATTGGGGGAGCTCAGAGTAGAACTGCTGCTCCTCTGCATCAAAAGGAGTCAGCTGAGGAGGTTCATCTGGTCTGGACACCTCCTTTCGAATGTTTTCCAGGCACCTCCCTGGAGGAAACCCCGGGTCAGGTCCAGAACTCTCTGGAGGGATTATAGATTCTCTCTGGTTCTGGGAACACCTTGGAGTCCTCCAGAAGGAGCAGAGAGCCCCACCCCCCCGGGGAGCCAGGCTCCCCGACCAGACAAGAGGCTGAAGATGAAGATTAAGAAAATTTGACAAAATTAAAATGTTCTGTGATTAAATGACCAGTTCTGTTTTATGATGTAAACGCTGACTCAGCATCCAGACCGGCTGGTTTTAGCTGTTCATCAATCAAAACGTTCGGCTCATTCAGGAGCTTTAGAATTTTAACTTTTCCACACTTTTAACTTCATTTATAAATGTTTCCCCACAGAAACACAAAGAGATCTCTTCAGTTCATTTACAAAATGAATTCATTCAAAATGTTTAGCTTGCAGCTGTCTAGCTAATTCTAGCTTTTAGCTATACTTTTACAAATTTTCCTTTTAGCTACTGTTTAGCTACATTTTTCTACATTCAGCTTTGAATTTCAGTTTTAAGTGCGTTGTTTAGCTGTATCAGAGCTAATATCATTTACTTTTAGCTCCAGCTTTTCTCATTTTAGCTCTCATATATGGTTTTGATTAGAGTTTCATAGCTGCAATTTAGCTATTTTTAGCATTTAGCTTAAATCTTGGTAATATCAGTTTGTAGGTAAAGCTGTGCTACATTCAGCTTTTAGCTACTGTTTTATTATTTGTGTAGCCATGATAGCCATTTTAGCTGCAGTTAAGTTGTCTTTAGCTACAGTTTTAGCTGTTTAGGTCTTTAGCTACAGACCATGAGGAGGTTCACCGGTGATGACGGAAACTGATGTCAGTTTTGCAGATCAGGATTTTTTTGTATTTTAGGAGATAATTTGAGTCTTGTCTTGTTTCATGTTTGTTAAACGCTGACCCATTGTCTGATATTTACAACAAAACAAACATTTAGCACCTGAAAAAAAGCCGAAGCTTCTGATAATCCACCGTCCTCACATTAAGCTGATCTGCTGGTAAATAAAAAGAGCTTCTTTCAGAAGAAAAGCCTGACTTTAGCTGTGCCTGAATAAAAGCAGACTTTACCTCCTGGATGGACGTCTTTCTCTGGACCATCTGAACCTTTCCGTAAGATGTTCCGTTTGTCGGAGCGGCCTCGATGCTGCTGCTGCTGTGACCTTCGGCTGCGAGAAATCAGTTGAGTGGGCAGAAAGTTGCTCAGATGCTTTTGTTGGACGGTTGCTTTCAGCCGAAAGCGCTCATGCTGAAAATGTGCAACTGTTGGTGGATATTATCTTCTGCAGGCTCATTAGAAAGGGCTGCTGCAGAAAGAAAGAACGGAGGAAACAACCGGAGAAATAAATGAGGAGAGAACTGAACAAGCAGCCGAACTTCACCTGTTTTAATTCCATAACATGGATACATCTGAGCTTCAACAGCTTCCTGTAAAACACGTCGATAAACTACAGCTGAGGTCAGAGGTCTCCATCAACAAGTTTCTGATTGTGATGTCACTTCTTTGTCGTCATCATTGTCATCTTCATCCTTCTTCATCGTCATCTTCCTTCTTTTTCTTCTTCTTCTCCTTCTCCTTCTTCTTCTTCTTCTTGGTAAAGTTCTGTTGAACTGGTTAGTTTCCAGGTCAGAGTCCACATATATTGTATCATGTTCTGGTTGGATCTTCGAGAAGGTTCTTGCAGAATCTTAATGCCAGCCTGATTTATCCAGTCAGAAACCAGTTCTGATGTTTGGAGCCACTGGTCTGTTGCACCCAACTGTGTCCGAGTTCCAGCTGTCCAACTGTTAAAGTTTAATTTGAATTTCAAACCAAGTTGAGGAATTTGGAGCTCGTCCTCCTCCTTCGTTGTTCCATCCGTTTAGCACCTCAGCATGATGCGACCACCATAGTGCCTGTGGGTTGTTTCAGTGATCTCAAGGCTGAGGACTCGCCTTGACTCGTCCAAATGTCCTTCTTGTCTTTTTGTCCAAACATCTTTGCCTCGTCTGACTATCAAACTTTTCCCCAGAAGACATTTGTTGTGTCCATGTGGACAGCTGAAGGTTTCAGTCCAACTTGAAGGTTTTGGTGCTTCTTTCTTGGTCCTCTTCGTCCATGGTGATGTAAAGCTGTCTTCACTGGTGGACAGGGACCATGGTGGACAGAGACCCTGGTGGACAGAGACCTTGGTGGACATGGAACCTGGTGGACAGGGACCATGGTGGACAGAGACCCTGGTGAACAGAGACCTTGGTGGACATGGAACCTGGTGGACAAGGACCCTGGTGGACAGAGACCCTGGTGGACAGAGATCCTGGTGGACATGGACCCTGGTGGACAGGGACCCTTGTGGACAGAGACCCTGGTGGACATGGACCCTGGTGTTCCAGCAGGTTTCAGTTGGTGGCAGAGTTGATCCTCGGTGGTTCCAACAACCTTTATGGAAAAGGTTGGACATGTTTTGCTCCTCGGCTGTGGACTGGTTGTGGTTTATGGTCCTGCTGAAGTGAGACATCATCTGTAATTCACAGATCTATAGTTCCTGCTGCTCTCATGTGTCCACCTGTCTCTTGGCATGGAGACAAAGACAATAAATCATGTCCTCTTTCTTTATGTCCAAAAGAAACATCATGTTTAAAAATTAGACCACAGAACAGACGTTTGTTCAACTATCATGAATAAAATCTGGGTTTGTTTGTTTGTGTTTGTTTGTTTGTTTGTTTGTTAGCATTATAGAGTTTTAATTTAGATTTGTATGTTCAACAATAGGCTCAATACCAGTTGGCACAAAATGCGGATGATCATGTAAAAGCTTTGTTTAACTTTTATACTTTTAAAAATATTTTAGTTTTGTTTACAAATATTTTCCTGACTTGAAGATTTTTAAATAATTTTTCCTGCTTTAAGCGTTTAGCTGCCATTCTGCACTTTCTAATTTTTTGTTGGTCTTTGGCTACTTTTAACTTTTAGCTCATTCATTGGCTATTTTTACATTTTAGACAGCCTTTTTCGTCTTTTCACTTTCGCAAAAAGTAAAAAACTAAAACTTTCTGGTGAAAGTTATAGCTTTAGCTCTTTGCTACTTTTACCTTTTAGCTGTTTTACATTTTTACTCTTCTACAAGCCAAATTATTGCCACTTTTAGCTTCTAGCTACTTTTTTCTAGCCTTATATTGCTTTTAGATTTTATATAGCACTTTGCTGCATGGCTTTTAGCTAGTCTTTTGCTAATTTTAGCTTTGAACTAGTTTGTCACTTTTAGCTAACTTTTTATAATAATAATGTCATCACAATGTCAGCACTGTATGTTTCCATACAATGGCGAAATTAGTCTCTGCATTTAACCCATCCACCACCAGGTGGTGCAGTGGGCAGCTATTGAAAGCGCCCGGGGGACATTTTGGGGATGAGACGTGCTGCCCAGAGACGCCACGTGATGTGCAGTGACTGGGGATCGAACCTGGGACTTTCGGGTCCCAAGCCAGCTGCCCTGCCTCTACACTATCTCGGCCCCTGGCAAAAGTAAACCTTTTGCTACTTTTTGCTTGTGCTTTGCTTCTTTTTGCATTCAGCTGGCCTTTTACTACACTTTTAGCTAGTGTTAAGCTACCTACTAGTTTTTAGCTTCCTTTAGGTTTTAGCTAGTGTTCTACTTCCTTTAGCTTTAGCAGCTCAGTTTCAGCTTCTTCGGTAAAGTCTTTCAGCTGGCAACGCTCGCATCGTGTTTTCACAGAAAATTATTTTATTTTTAGTCAGGTCAGTTTTAGCTGTTTTAGTCTGATTTCGGCTGCAGAAGTGTGTCTGAAAGCGAATCTGATTGGACCCAAACTAAAAGCTAACCTGCCCGCTGTGTTTTCACACTTCGCCGATGTGCGAGTTTTGTCACTCTTTAAAGGAAGTAAACCGGCGCTGCTCGGTTGTTCAGCACATCCTGCAGCTGATTATGGATCAGAACCTCTGCCAGCTCTCAGGGTGGACCTGCTGGCTCATCAGACCCTGATGAGAAGAATAAAACTCCACCCATCCTGCAGCTCTGACCCACAGCTGGCAGACACTCGTGCTGCTCTCCCATCTCCACGGCTGCAACAAATAAAAGTTGCTCTCGTTTTTCTCGTCCGCGCCGTTCAACACATCCAGGAACGGGTCAACAAAGGAGGAAAATACGACCTCTGTCAGGAACGGGCCTTCCTCCGTACCAACAGGGTGCTAATAAGGGCGGCGTGTGTGTTTGTTTTGAATTGTTATGAAAGGGCCCGCTTGTTTGGCTATGCCCAGTGTTGCCACGGTAACCGACATTCCCTGGAGCACTGCTCATGTTAATTGTTTTATTCCTCCCCCTCTCCTCCTCCAGCTTCTGGCTGCAGAGACGATCAGTCGAGTGTCACAAGTTTTGAATTCCTCTCCTCCCGGGCCCGTTCGGTTCTGTCCGTGTACTTCCCCCCGTCTCTGTGCCTCTTGAGCTTGATTGATTTCTCCTGGAGCTCCTCGCTCACTCGGGCCTTGTGGTCATGAAGCAGCTGTTTGGTGAAATGAGATGACCGCGGAGGTCTTCGGAGAAATTACTCGCTGTGAAATCTGGGGGTGAACTCAGGCCAGTTTTACTCTCGAGGCGCAGCGAGGAGAAGGACCATGAACGTTTTGGCAGGAAGATGACATGAAAAGTGATCAACATGTTCCCGTTCAGCTGCAGCTAAAGGAAATGAGCGTCTTCGTGCTAAGAGGCTTTGCTTCCTCCTCATCGTTCGTAGACCATTGCCAAGAAAGCACTTTAGAGTTCCCACAATCGCAGTGTTGATCGCACAGCGACACGTTTTATATCTAAATCAGTTGCAGCTCGTTCACACAACAGCCGAACCCTCCACACGTGAATCCCAACTATGCAAACTCACAGCCGAATGTCGAAACTATGCAATCAGCCTTCTGGTGAAAGTTGAGCTGACGGGGTTCGGCCACATTACGTTCAGTTTATGGGTGAAAAGCAAGTTTTAGTATTTTCAAAGTTTAGCTGTTTCTTCTGGTCTGCCTCAGCTGTCAACAAAAAAAAGATTTATGATGAAAAACCAGCAGCTGAGGTTGAAAAGTCCAACGATACGGAAGATTCAAACATACAGTACTGTACTGAGAGAACTGTTCATCCATCCAACATCCATCCATACAACATCCATCCAACATCCATCCATACAACATCTATCCATACGACATCCATCCATCTATCCATACAACATCCATACAACGTCCATTCATCCATCCAACACTCAACATCCATCAAATATCCACCTATCCAACATCCATCCAACATCATCCAACAGCCATCTATACATCTATCCAGCATCCATCATCTATCCAACGTCCATCTAATATCCATCCAGCATCCATCAAACATTATCCAACATCCATGCATCCATCCAACATTCATCCATCCATCTATTCATCCAACATCAATTCAACATCTATCATCCAACATCCATCCATCTATACATCCATCTAACATCCATCCAGCCAGCCAACTTCCATCCAACATCATCCAACATCCATCCATCCATCCATCCATCCATCCATCATTCATCCAACATTCATTTATCCATCCAGCCAACA